TTGGCATAAGGGCTGACAAAGGCCCTCACGCTGTTCTTCCCTGAGAGGCTCTGCTGGGGCCATTCAGAGAGAGAAACGCATCCAGGGTCCTACAGCACTTTGCTGACGGTCATAAAGTCACTCCTGCAACTAAGCTCCCTTGCTGTGACAAAATAAGCAGTCCCAAAGCACCCTATCAAGCGCCTTCTCTCAATTAACGTGACAAGAAATGACATTTCATCACCTGTGTAATGAGCTTAATAACATCTAATGTTCACTTGATACTGTCATTGGTGGCTGACCACAAAATAAAGCCAGGTTGATAGGGGTTAGTGACTTTAATGCTGGGTTGGAAGATGGCCACTTTATTTTTCACTGGGTTCGTTGCTATTGTTATTATCTGTACTGCTGGTGTTATTTATATAGCAGCATTAGGAAGCCTTCGTTACTTACCACTATACAAGTACACACCAAAAAAGTGACAGTTGCCATGGGCAGCTTGTGACCTGCAGGGGAACATGCAGTACTGGCCTGCTGGTACCACTGCTGCAGGACTACAGTACTGCTTATGAGTCTTCTAGATTTATTATTATTACTGCTACTACTATTACTTGCCATCAGGGACTTTTTTTTTTTCCTCTGTTCAACAGATATCCAGCAGTGAAAGAACGGAAAAATGAATGGCACGAAAAGTTACAGAGCATTTTAAGAAAATTAACGGTAACAACCATACAGTCTTGGGAATTGTCTTCTGAGCTTTGAGCTTCGAGCTTCAGCTGACCTCTGTTTTTCAAACAGCTTATTCTGTTCATCAGTCTTCGTTATTTTTTTAAGGTGAAAAAATAAACAAACCCTCCCCAAAGTAAGATCAAGTTATTACAAATATACGGAGCTCTTGAGCATGAGCACATTTATCTTCTTTTCTGATTCAGTTTTGAAAAATTGTTGGCCACTGTTTGCCGTTGTTCCTCCCTTGCTCCCCTTAGGATGACCGTCAGCTCCGAATGGGATGCTGCACATTGGCAGCACCGGGGCAGAATTAATTTTCAAAGTTGCTCAGTGTTTGGACATGTGGTCTTGATACAGGAACCTCATCCACTCACAGTGTATTTTTTCTCTGGTTTGAGTTGACTCTGAAGAAAAAGCTATTCGAAAGGCAGTTTGTTTCTGCACCGAGATCAGTTTCGGTGAGTGTTGGCTGGCATTGCATGTGAATGTTGGTTTTCCAGGGTTGGCATTAATACCTCGTACAAAACCAACCGTCGGGCTGCCATGAAGTCACTCATTACAGGGTATTGCTGCGCAACCTTCACTAATGAACAGAAGCAGCCAGATTCCTCCTAGCCCCAAGGAAGGAAATTTTTCTCTACGTCCGATGTCTTTCACTTCTCCTGCTCTTAGTTATAAATATTCTAGTGAATGGGCTCAGATGAATAATGCTCATAATACAAATAACTAAAGCTGAGGAGCTCTGTATTTAAAGGTGAGGAATCATTTATTTTAGAATAAAAAGTGGATTTTTTTCCTTTTTTGGTTAGCAGCTTTCAAACATGAATGAAGCCTTCTAGGAAAGAATTGAAATGATGGGACTGTGGTTTTATTTTTAAACATAGAAACTCAGGTACAGATTTCTATCCAGCTTAGGTTTTAAGACAACATTAAATACATTTTTTGGTTTTTGTTTTTTTTAAAAAAAGGAACAAGAAGCTCTCTAACTATGAACATGAATATATATCATGTCAATAAAACATTTCTATTTGATCATTTTGTTTTCAAGCAACTTCATCTCTGCTGGGTTTTTTTGTCTTCTGTGCAACTCTGCCATTAAGAAACTTCTGTGATTGCACATTTCAAAGTCACACAGGGAATCTGAGATTTTATTGTTCCTCTTTTGTGAGGCTGCGGTTAGTAATGACTTAAGTAATGCTTCATAATCCATTTGTAGTCTAGTATCTCCTTGAAGAAGACAGAGAAGTTTGAGTCTTCTCTTTACAAAATAACTCATCAATACGTCTCTTCTTAGCAGAGCTGTACTGATTTAAACCCAAGAATAAGAACTTAAATAAACATAGGGAGGATTGGTTTTGAGCAGCTGAAGACTTGCAATACACTGCAGACACCTTTTTGTTTTGAAAGTGCTGAAGTGAAAAGAAAAGCTGGATTTTGGTTTTGTTCGTAAAATAATTTTGAGGAGCAATGCTATGAGAATTATGAGATGTATCAGCGATAAACATTGCTGGCATGTCGAGGGATTTATTCATCAGGGACAGTAGGACATAGAGGCCCATAAACCAATAGGATTATCAGTGCAGACCTTGCCCACGGCCACGCTCCGGATTGTCTTGTTACTGCAACTATTTAGCAGGGAAGCTTTCCCACCCACCTTTTAACTTTGCTCCTGCCAAACCGCTGCAGGCCAAAGCCAGTCATTTCAAATTTGGCTGCTACCTGTTACCCTTCCTTTCTTTTCCAGCTAGTAAGTACCTTAACCCCTCTGGTGCCTGCTCTATTTTTTTCTGTGGTGTGTACATTAAAATGGGTCACATTTAAAACTTCAGCATTGTTGAATGGGGACCATAACTGTTGAAAAGCAAAAAACATAACAACTTTACACAGGCTACAACATGATAGCTGCATCTTTGCTTGCAATGTTTAACAAGATGCACGTCACTAGTTTCAGTTTCTCCTGCAAATTCAGGTGCCTTCAAAGGTGCCTGTTTCCTAAGCATAGACATTGCCCAGTCATCAGCTCCAAAAACTGACAGCTAGCTCCTGTTGGCAGGTCGCACATCAGTGCTCCTTCCACAAAGCAAAAGAAGCAGTGCCTTTAAAAGGGAGGCCCAGTGCAGGAATAGGTCTGGCATCCCAGTAAAGAGCAGGAATAAAAACATCAAACAAGTTCTATCAGGAGAATGCTGGATCATGTTAATTATGAGCCTACATAAACGTTTAAGATTATGCATGACTGTAAATACACAATGGACTGTCCACATTGTCAGCAGAAGGCTTGGACACAGATCAAGCATAGAAATTTGCCTGTGTTTTCAGCTTGTGCAGTAAGTTATTTCTTCACTTTAAGTCAATATAAACTGTCTCCAGCCCTTCTCAGGTTTGTCAGTTCCTAAACTACTTTCCTCACTCTTAAGTATTCCTCTATAACACTATGGGGATTGCCACTGTAATGGCTTTGAAAGAAATCCCAACAAGTCCAGAGACCTCCATCTGAAGTGCCATGAGCAAGCAATGCCCTGCCAATGCATTCTGTCACAGACAGCCTTATTTGTCTCCTGAAAGACATCCTCTGAAGCTGCAGCCCAGCTCACAGTGTACAACATCCCTTACACTGTGGGCCCCCTTCCCCCCCCCAAAAAAAAAAGTAGATTGTGTTGTCTGAGAGAACATGTAGACATATAACATAGGTCCAGATTTTGCTCCATAGCACTTGTGTTAAATGCTCCAGAGTACATTTGCAACACTAAATCTCTATGTTCAACCTGCATATCATGTATTTGTCAATTTAAGAAGTAGTATTTTCCAGTTCATTTGGGTGAGCATGAGGAATGGGTTACACCGAGCTTCAGATAACATTGGTTCATGAATAGGCATGAAACTTTTCACACCTATGGATTAAAGCCAAAGCTGCTTTTCTGTTTGAAGGTATCAGCACTTTTTTCCTGTTACCACCTAAACCAGCGAGCTCCAGTTTTGTCACAAAGAACTGCCCAGCTCCTCTGGCTGGGATGCATTTTGTGCTTCCCACCATCACGTGCCATGACTGGGGCTTTGTTAGCCAACGCCTTCAGCTCCTCACGCTCGTGACTAAGACCTGGATCCCACGAATATTTGGCATCTTCACAGTATTGCTTGGCAATTGATGATTCAAACAGCCACGTCAGACCTGAACTTCCTCACACACTATGTTCTCAGAGGCTTTTTGCCACCTCCCTGCATGCCTGCTTCCCAACCATCACACCACCTCCCTAACTCCATGCCATCCAGGCTTCTCACCCACTTTTGATTGAACAAAACCCTAACACCCTTTACTTTATACCTAGCAGATATTTCCAAAGCTGCTCAGGGCCTCTGCTCAACTCCTGTTGCCCCTCAGTTCTATCATTTAGGATATTCATGCATCAGTGGTATAGCCCTTGTCCGGAGAAAAGCAACTAGACTGTGCCAAATGGATATACAAATACTCTCTCCAAAACCAGTTACGTTGGATGCATTACAGCCTAAGAGCGTCTCCCAAAATCTGGTACTCCAAGCACTGGAAAATGTTCAGCTGCATGCCTTTCTCCACAACATGTCCTTTCTGTGCTTGTTCTTGTATATTTAACTTTTACTCCCTATTCGATGAAAATATTTGCATAATTAAACAAACAAACAAACAAAACCCCACAAACTCCACCAACTAGATTGCAAACCCATTCTTTTGGGTTTCCCCACTTCTGCAGTGGCTGACAGTACTAAACTTACTACCTCCCAACTATTCTTTTTCTAAGCAGTGTAAGTCATGAAAAGTTTCTCTGCCTGTGAAAACATCCCTTAATTCTTCTTCAGGTTCTTTTGTCCCTTTTCTTCAAGGGAATACGCTGCCCTGGACAAAATGGAACTTTTGCTGCAGGTGCTCATTGCTCACAAGGAATTTCCCAACCTGGCAGCGCTGCCATCCTCTGCCCAGCGCTACACACAGGTATCCCTTCTCCCCTGCATGCAACCACTCCATTGTGACATGTGCTGTAACCAAATCTGACTTAAAACCATACATCAGCAGTGAATTAGTTTTTGAGTATGAAAAAACCCGTGTTCAAAAGATCTTTTCTGTATACCACGCACTTGGAAAAAACTTCATGAACATCAAAATCTAAAGCCATACTTTTTACTTACATATATAAATGCGCGTTTATGTGCATATATTTAGATAATCATATATCATTTGACTTTTTTTCCCTCCCCAGAAAAAACAGTTTCTGAAGCAGAATAAATAGCATCAACTTGCCAAAGTATGATCCAACAGCAACTCCTCTCATAAATGCTTTTTATTCTTGGTGCAGTGAAATAATTTTAGTCTGGAGACTATACAACCCATTTGTAGTCCGAAGTATTTGATTCTTTTCACATTCAGTAATTTTGAATGTGACTAAGTGACAACATTTTGTTGAAAGCTTCACATAGCTAGCATGCCTCTACTGCTTATTGTCCTATACACTGAAACAGTGACTGTCACCAGTACGTTTGCCTTCATACATCAGAAGTGAGCTTAATGTGGTTATATAAAGCTTAGCATTTTAACATTCCTCTAAAAATAAGCTGCTGATTTAACATGATTTAGGAACAAAGATTTCAAAGCATCGAGACCAAGATCAGTATGGGCCTGCAGAACAAGCTTTTCCTGCTTTCACCAGCCTCCGTGCTGCTGCCTGTACAGGGAGAGTGGTCCATATAATGCTGATGGGAGTATCTCAGCAATAAATTGCTGAGCCCAGGCTCTGAGCTACACTGCCCATGCCTTTGCTTCATTTACATGCAACTGCTAAGGCTTGCCTTTACATCTTCCCATTTAGTTGCTTGATCCAAATTCTAACTAAATTTAACACCAAAATTTAAACAACATGGTTTGGACAAGTGAACCATACTGAACAACAATGTAATCCAGAACCGGATTCTTAACATTAAGCCAAGAACACACAATTTGAATACTGAAATCTTTTAAAGACAGGATTCAATTTTCATTGTATTTTTATTCTTGCTGCTTAATCAAACCCACATGGAAAGCACTGTGCTTAATAAACTACAAAATTAGTATTTTAACAGACCGGCGTGTACATAAACCTACAGCTGAGCATAGGTTGAACAGGTTATTTTAAAATATTTCTGAAAAAGCATTTAATGAGAGAAGTACCCTCCTGCAGGTTTGAGCCTGCTTTCTCCTCTCTTCCAGGAATGATCCGGAGTGAGGGCAGCAATCCTTGACGACGGAGCATTGTCTCCATGCACTATTCCCTGCTTTTGAGTTCCAGCTCGCATTTGGCTGGCTGAGAACACGTCAAGTTGGAAATCAAAGTTGCCATCATCCATGCGTTTCCTCAGTCACTTACGATGCTGTTGTCTGAAACTCTTACCCGGCAAGACTTGTGAGGCTTCCTTCCTTCTTTAGGACTTTATTGGTATTGATTGTGTACTGTGCAAGGATTAAGCATAGCTCTGCTTTCTTGTCAGTGCTCTGCAGAATCACCTTTTTCTCTCTAATGATGGTTAATTATCTTTTGTTTGCCAACAACTGGTTTGGTACTGCAGGTCCTCATTGGTTTAGCCTAGTTAACCCTATTTGAAATAATGGATTTATATAGTATGATAAAAGCTGTAAGAATCCAGAATTTGAAATTCACTTTTATTTTCAAATTAATGCACAGCATAAATTAAAAGGCTGTGTTATGTAACTATAGTATTTCATGAACATTATGTTTCAGGTACTTACTAAAGTTATCTCAAAAGGCGCAGGCTCCTTTCACACAGTGTAATTATACATAAGGTTCCCAAATTAGTTTGGTCAATGTACATTCCAGCAGTTTAACATCTCAGAAAGTGCTTACCAAATAGTGATCACATGGACATCAACGTTCACAGCAGACCCCAAGTCTTGCTCCTCTGGCAACTCGTGTGGCCTCTTTTACCCACCACCCTCTGCTTTTTCCACTCCCCAGCAGTATCTACATCTGCCCCTTCCTCCCAGTCCCTCAGGCCATACCTGCAGGACAGCACAGTAGTTCCACAGCAGCAGCAAAGCAAAGATTCTCCACTATATTTGCTCTTCAAGGCAAGGAATACAAGAGTTTACCTTTAAAGAGCTACACCTTTTCTCCAAGGTTTGCTCTACACTATCAGCTTCTTGCCTCAGTGGTTATGTGGGGGGATACAATGATGGGACTCCCTGAAGACTAAACGTGAGCAACCTTGAGGAGGAGTCACTGCAGCCAACCAGATCTTCCTTATCCTGATTTGAAGCCTTCGTGCCTACCTGACACAACACGGCGAGGGGAAAACACCAACAGCTCCTTTTGTCTTCAACTGCAGCAAACCCTCACCTTATCAACACTTCTACCCCGGCAAGGTCTTTCTCTCGTACCCGGGAGGTGCGATTTGCCACCCGCTGCCGCGACCTCCCCCACCTCAGCACAGCCGATTTCCCCTGGTGAAGGGGCAAGGGACAAGTCTCACTGGCACTGGTGCGGTTTGGTTAAGAGCTGAAATGATGCTAGGAATATTTTGCCACTTTATTAACATCACTGCACTGGGAAAGCCTTATGCAAAAGAAATCTGAGGTTCAGTTGCTTCCTCTCTCAGGCCCAGCCATGACTGAAGAGCAAAATCCACGACTTTAAGAGATTACCGGTCACCTGGGAAAGTGATAATTCTTCTGCATTAAACACACATTTATTCCTGTACTTCACTACTTATGAAGGTTAAAGGAAGAACGTATCTCTCCTGATGAGATTCAACTTTTGTTTTATATGCTCAAGCCTCAGCTCAAGCTAATTAACTCACTTGAATCAAAGCTGATCACTATGTGCTTTACATTACATTTATTCAGAGTAATATTGAGCTTCTGTAGCCCTTCTCCTCTGCTTTATAAATGAAAGGATTATTCATGTGACAATAAGCAGCAATGGAAGAAACTATGGGATGAGGAAATGACAGCAGGAAAGGTAAAAAAATCATTTTCTGGTTATAAAGTTAGGAAATGAATCACACAATCATTGTGCTTGCAAGGGATCTCTGGAGGTCCTCTGGTCCAACCATCCTGCTCAAGAAAGGCCACCTAGAGCCAGCGGCCCATCCAGACAGTTTTTGAGTATCTCAAAGGACAAAGACTCCACAACCTCTCTGGGCAACCCACGCCAGTGCTCAGTCGCTCCCAGACTGTGCGTTTCCCAATGTTCAGGCAGAGCCTCCTGTGTTTCAGTTCATGAACAAAGAAACTAAAGGATAAGAGCTGATTGCTGTATCTCCATACATTTCCTCAAACTGAGACCATCCTTTCTCCACCCCTTCCAAGGAAGTGGCAGCCGAGGGAACTGTTATAGTCAGTCGAAGTTTTGGACACGCTAACAGGAGCTGGGAGTCAGTATGGCAAAAGCGATAGCTCTCACTCCAACCGAGCTTACTGCCTACACATCAGACAGGTCCAAAGGCACCCAGCTGCCAAAATGCAGTGTTAAACAGCTCTGGCTTGCCTATGTAAGACTACTCACACAACTTAAATACACTGCCACTCATTAGTTTGAGTCTCTCATACGGTTAATGATGTTCCCACCAGTGCTCCTGCAAGTTACTACAGAACACATTGGGGATTTTACTGCATGAGCGGATCAGCATCCAGTATTGAGACTTACTTTTATTAAAAGCAGCAATGCATCATTTTACTACAGCTGAAGAACATTCACAGGAGCTCTGCAAGAGACCAAGCGTTGGTGCAAGTATGTAGATTCCAAAACTGAAGAGGCAAGAACCATCAGATAGGATAAAAGCTGCCATTATACAAAAAGACAGTATTGCCTCACAGCCCAGCTGAACTCAAAACAAAGTGGTAATCATTCATCAATAGCCTATGAAAAAAACCCCCGGCATTAGAGTTCAGGACTCTGTATGCTCATTTCAGAAAGTTTATATATAAATTCAGCAAGTAATTACTTTTGTGTTGGCTATATGAAGCCAAGTTTCAGCTCCCTTGTTCTGCAGTTAATTAGGATGAGGTTTCAGCACACTACCTCTAATATCTTAAATACAGGTTCAACTGCACCAAGCTATTTTCAACAGCACTAGCACCAGTATTTCAAAAAATAAAACCTAGTCATAGCAAAGGTTATTTCTAGAGTACAGTAAGCACAACCAACATGCGGTCGAGTTCCTAGCCTGTCTGTTACACCAGGCAAGAAAATGGCCTTATTTCAATGGCATTTGCGAAGTTTTTGTAACTTCCACTTCCCTCCCAGAATAAAATAGAAAATAAATTTTGGGATTGCTTAGCAATTCCAGTTTCCACTCGCTCTTAGCTCAATCCCCTGCTTCTACCAGAGGCAGGTTTGCCTCCTCCAGCTCCAAATACGAGGCAAATCCTTTACCACACAGTGCCACTGACCTGCCTCAACTGCTCCAAGTCTACTTCCCATTCTGCAGCTGACAGGCACACGGAGCCTCGTGTTGGTACCTCAGATATCCCGCAAAATGTTTCTGCCCTGTTGTCCCAAGACTTAGAGGGAAGACCATCACTGCCACCAGAATCCCAACAAACAAGACTCCAGAACGTGCTGCTCTGGGCGGGCTTTTAGGGAACTTCAATCTACGTGGATCCTGTAAAGTTTCTTGAACATAGCTGCCCAGGCAGCAGATAAATATAAATGTCCCAGCATTTTTTGGAGTCAGCTCATGACTTCCAATACTCTATTTGTATTTCATTGGACTCTATGGTCTATTTATAAATTGTTTATCATACAGTTGCTAGAAGTCAGCAAGTCTGTGTCTAGTAAAACAGTACAAGCTAGCTCTTTGAAAACACACATGAAAAGCGTGTTCTTTTCATCTTTTGACAGCATTTTTAGATTACGGGTACAAGAGTTAGATTTTTACTTAAAACTTCACTACCTCAAAATCAGATCTCTGGAAGCTAAAGTAAGCACATTCCTCAACTCTATCAGGTCCAGTGTCATCCTGAGACTAACCAGCTACAAGCTGTGCAGCGTGCCTTTACTCTACATTCCCTGTGCTCTTTATTCTCCCATCACAAAGCAAACTAAAGCGGTTGCCTCATCGTCACTCTCAGCAGTGTAAGACATAACTAAATCTTACGATTGTAAGGATACCCTGGCCTGGAAAAGACAAAATACATGACATAGCAGCTTTTAACTCTTCCAAAATGCCTCTTTTTGAATTCTGAATTCAAACTTCTGCACCTACGTACACAGTTCAAGCTGGATCAATACACGCAGGGACTCTAGGCCACGCTCAGATGCATTCAGCCTCAACCTTCGCAGTACTTGGCAGCAAACTCCTTGCCTGTTCTCCAGCTTGCTGAACAATAAATAGGTGGGTATAACTTCCTTTGTCTCTGCCCCTCCAAATAACAGACCTGTACTATTCTGGCAAGTCGTGTAATTTACTCAGCATGCTCATTTGCCACTCTTCCAACGCGGAAAGGACCGTAATTGGAACAGGCACTCTAAAGCGTCAAAAAGCACCAAAAAAATAAAGCTGCAGCATAGAGTACATCTCCAGCGATGTCCTGCTTAACAGAGAAGCAAAAGATGCCAAGAAATCATACAAAAGTTCTATCAATGCCGTTATAGTTTGGCATTCAGACTTTATTTTAAATAGCATCACCTATTCTTTCTCAATTTCCAATTCCTGCATCATCTTAATAAAAGACTACACTTGAAAGATTAGTCAAAGCTCTTCATCTTCCATCCAAGGTCCCAAGCACTGCTACACACCTCCAGCTTGCTTTCCAAAGTCTTACACTGCAATCGAGCGAGAAAGTTCAAACACCGGTGGACTATCAGATCGCATACATTTCAGTTGAAGAGTAAAGCACAGAAACGGAAGCACTGAGCTCTTTTCTAGTCCCACCTGAGGGCCACTTGATTTCCTGTATCAAAGCAGAAGTGTCACCAAGAGGTCACTATTCAAGTATTACTTGTAGGACAGGAGGTACAACATGCTGCAGACACGTGGCAAGGACAAGCGAGGGCTACCAGAAGGCCAAGCTTTACTCACCTTGCCTTCACAGCTTGACCACCGGGGAACTAAAAGCAGGCAGAAAATTGGCTCCGGCTGAAACACGCTGGGAGAAAGTGGACAAATTCTTCATTCCTAACACAGTTGGACTCAGGTTTGCGATTGGCCACCACATCTAGCCCAGTGCAAGAGACTTCAAGATCCTGCCCCCCTCCCATTCTGGGCTGAATTTATACTGAAATAAGCTAAGATCCAGACACATTACATTTATCCTGAAAGAGTAAGCGTATGTTCCAGTCTGTGGGTTTCCAGAACCATAAGGATCTGTATAAAGTTTTAACCACCAAATCTGAGTATCTAAGAAGCCTTTATAAGATCTACTGGCCACCGCCCCCCCCCCCCCCCCCCAAAAGGCTATTTAGTACAAAAATTGGAAACTGCAATTTGCATTACATATCCTGCTAGGCAGGAACCACCCCTAAATTAAATATAGTGGGACTTCAGCCCTGACGGTACAAGGTGTTTCCCTATAATTGCACTGATTAAATAGTTGCAGACACCAGACTTCCAAGTCCTTTTTAGCACACGTCACACTGCACAACATAAAGCAGCAGGCAATTGGCCAAAAATGGTTAGCAAAAAGGATTCCTTAAACCTCCAGCATCCAAATATAGCCCTAGCTGGTCACATGGGCTGCCATACAGTAAGTGCTCCTCACTTTACCTACCCTTTGATTAAACGGTTTGAGCTAAAAAGCATGTACTTAGAATAGCATTTCAGTTTCCAGCCCAATTCCACGAACTGTATAATCTTGCTGTACCTTCCATGTTCAGACCGGCAGAAAGGAAAAGTTGATTTTGGTTTCTAGTGAGCCCAAAAGGGATCATTAGCTACAAAAAGCAAACAGAATATGAGACCTCTAACATATACGTGTATACACACACACACACATTTATGTGTATATCTATAAATATAAAAGCAGCATTATCTGCCACGAAATGCAGCTTCCGTGAAAGCCTTACTTGCTAACAAACTCTACAGCACATCCTGGTTTTAAATTTGAAATAAGTTGCCATGCCTTATTCCACCTGACCTCTAGCCATGCCTGTTTTCCCTATTACTCTCATTATGAAAGCTGATCAGCTGATTATGTCCACCTCACAAGAGCTCCGCACCTTAGTTTACACATCAAGAAACTCCACAAAAACTCTGAACAGAGCTGGGCCAGTTATTGTAGTGTTGCCAGATTCCAACTTAAAAAAGGAGTTTGGCCCTTCCTTTCTCAGCCCTTAAAGGCATTGTCCATGTTGATTATGGTGCAGGTGTCAAATAAGGTTATATTATAAAACCTTGCAACTGCACTAATAAATACAGGTATCATTTATCCTTCCAAAGCCTCCCCCCTCTGCATTAGTGAAGATGAAGCCTTGCAGTACTCACAACAAACCTTGTGGTTTTTGAAGATGCAGAGGTTTGAATTTAGGTTGTAGCTATTACTCAACCGAAGTTTGGGGGCTTGGGGTTCCTAAAGAAGAAAACAGTTCAGTGCCACAAGGCAAGGCCTAAACATTGAATTAGCACACCTACCGCACTGTGTTACAACAGGACTCTCTAGCACAGGTTTTTGCTAAGAGCGCAGTGTTTTATCGAACCCTAGTTACACTACTATTCTGTTACACATCTGAAACAAAGCACAATTAGGAGTAGTGTCAAGCATGTTCACATACCCACCACCGATTCAGCTGCACCACGCACCAGTTAGTTTCACATTTATGCCGACAGCCACGCCGGCTTGACTGCACTGAAATAACTCTCGGATACCCAGATGCTGGGCTATTTTTTACCCTGGAAAAGAAGAAGGAAAAAAAAAAAAAAAGAAAAAGAAAGAAAACCCAACAAAACTTGAGAGCGGGAGGCCACGCCAGCAAAGACTTTATTCCAAGGGTGCAGCGCAGGTCTGGGTGCTCAGCACCCAAAGGTCTGGGTGCTCGGCACCGCAGTGACGTGTCCACCTGAGGCTCCCGGGGCCGCCGCCGCCGCCGGAGACAAAGTTCTGTAGTGCACTGACTGCTATCGTACCCAGAGTCGGAGTGTCACAGAACTTTGCTTCCGGAGGCTCCAGTCCTCCTCCGGTACCGGCACCGGGGCCGCCTGCCAGCGCAAGTTTCCCTGCCTGGGAAGGGAAGGCGCACACGGTTAGAGGTGGGGAAGGGAGCCCCCTCCTCCCCCGCGGCTCGGCGGAAGGCCGGGGCGGGGGGGGGGGGGGGAAGGAGGTGAAGAGTTGTTTGGGTTTGTTGGGTTTTGGTTTGGTTGGTTTTTTTTTTTTTTTTTTTTGTTAATAAAAAGCCAGAACAAACACCGCCCCCCCCCCCCCCCCCTCCAACCTCCTCCCCCCGGAGCTAACGGGCCGCCCTGCGCCAGCCAAGTCGCGGCCGAGCGGCGCGCTGCCCGCTGGAAAGCGGCGGGAGCCGCCGGCTCCCCGCTGACAGCCCCGCCGACCGCGGCCCTGAAGCGGCCCCGCCTGCCAGCGCCCGGCATCCCCCCGCGGCCCCGCAGCCCCCCGCGGAAACGACCCGCGGCGGCTCTTCCCCCCCCCCCACTCCCCCCCCCCCCCCCGCGCTTCCCCGCCAGCCCTTCCCCTCGGCCCCCGCCGCCGCCGAGCGCAACAGGTCCGGTGTCGTGTCCGTCTCCCCCCCCCCCCCCCCCCCCGCCTCCTCGGGCGGCGGCGGCCTCGTCTCGTCCGGCCGCGTCCCGTCGGGCGGCGGCGGCCGGCGGCGCCCGCCCCTGCCGCGCGCCGCGCCGCTCCATCTTGACTTTTGCCGACGTGGAAATTTTGGGTTCGGGGACGAGCCGCGCTCTTATTGGCCGGCGGCGGGCGGGGTCGGAGGTCACGGCGGCTGTCGCCGCTCCGCGCCAAGCCGCCCTCTCGCGGGCGGCCCCGCCCCCGCCCCGCCGCCCGCCACGCCCACGCGCCCACCCGAGGGGCGGGGCCGCGCCGCGGGGCCCCGGTGGCCGGTGTTGGGGAGGGGGGCGGGGGGGGGGCGCGGTTCGGGGGCTCCTCGGCTCCCAGCTCGGTTTCAGGCAGCCGGTGCCCGCCGGGCGGGAGGGAGCGGGCGCGGCGCCGGTTCTCGGTGCGCCCCCCGCGGCGTTCCCGCCCCCGCCGCCCGGCAGCCGCGAAGCCGCGCAGGCCGGGTCCTGCCCTCGCCCGGAGGTGCTCGGCGGGCATCCACCCCCCGCCCCGCCCCGAGGGCTCCCGGCGCGGCCCCCGCGGAGGAGAAACTCGGTGTCACTTAGCGGCGGTGGAGGGGCCGCCCTGAGCGCCCCGGGGGGCTCTGCCCGCGGCGGAGCGGGTCCACGCCTGAAATCGCTTCGGGTGACCTGGGACCCACCCCCCCACCCCCACTCGAGACAGCGACCTGGGGTGTGGCGGGTGTGGGCAGGAGAAAATCTCGGGTGTTTCTAGGTCCCGCTTCTGATTTGAAGGACTTTGAGAAGAATGTGGCGGAAAAGCGCCTTCCCCTCTCCCTCTGAGAGAAGGTGAGGGGCATTTGTTGCCTGCAAAGGGTGCTTTCCGCTCCAGGTGTCGAGAGTTTGCTAGTTCTGCGTGGATCTCACACTATAGCACAAAACTGGCTGAATAAAGATTTAAAAATAACAATTCCTGCCACTGTTCATCCCTTCCGTTGAATTAAAAGTCATTAAAGTCAAACCTATCTTACCGACCGGCTTGTTTGCTAGGCTCAGATGAAACTGCCAACACAATTAACTAGGTTTGAAGAACTGATTCAGGATTAATTTAGTAGCCGCGTAAGCCCCAACCGTAAAAACGCTCTGGGGCTGGAGGGGCTTGAGCGGTCCCGGGGGAGCCGTCGGGGTGCTGGCAGGGGCCGGCGTGCGGCCCTGAGCTCCCGCGCTTGCCTGGTCCTCGTTGCTCACAGGGTCACAGCCGGGGCTGTCACTTCAGCGTCTGAAAGGGAAATAAACTGTAAAATGCTTTGAAATGTTTTCTTCTTTATTAGTTTATAGATATTGTTTTTTTTAAATTTGAGCTCTTTGGGGAAGGAGAACCTCAGAAGAATCTCTTACCTCTGAATACTTAAATTTTGTCTCCTTTATCTCCTTTGTCTGCAGAACCAGAAGTGGCAAGTCTTTCCTGAACCTTTCACTTCTGTTTATGAAGCATGTTCCTCCCTCCCTGTCTGCACCTTCACGGTGCCATTCAGTTTTCAGCCCTAACCCATTTTGCTGCAGTTTTCCACATGTTTGTATTATTTCCCATCTTCCCGTCCCCCTCCAGCCCTGCGCCCTCAGCGTGCACCCCCTCTGCTAGCCCACAGAGTTGGGCCCAGCAATGCTGTTGCCACTTGGCTGTGTGTAGGGGAATATTGATTTTACCGTGTGTATGCTCTGTAAAAAAAAATCAATATTTCAGTAGATTGAGCAGAGCGTGCAGCAGTGTAATGGAGCCCAGCCTGCTAATGTAACATGCAGGGGTCCGCATGCAGAGATTGAGGTCAGTCAGAAAATGGAAATGTGTTTTCTTGTTTTATTGTCTGTTTCAGATTTAATGCAGGTGTTTATGTTCTAGTGTTTAACTTACGGGAGGGCACGGAGTTGCTTTAAAGTCATATCCAACAGAATGTCACATATTGCAGGCGACACACACAAAAAAGCATGCCTCAGGCCTCCAGTCCATTTTTTAGATCTTAATAAAGCCCCTCTTCCCTTTACCCATCATACATCTATCAAACAACAGTTGTGAGGAAGAACTAATAATTTTTGCTTCTGCAAATAAAAAATTGTTTTCCATTGTTTGGTGCAAACTCGGGTTCTGACTATGTAATGAAACATGCAGTGCTTTAATGAACTCTGATACAGTGGTGTGTATCGATGTGTATCATAAAATGAGTATAAGTGAAAAGAATGAGGGAGGAGAAAAAAACGAATGTATGACACAAAACCAGAGTAAAAACTCATTGATTTTAATGGACCTGGGATTTCAGCCAGAGTGTTCTCCATGATACATTATCCGCTTTTTAAACCGTTGCATCATGCCTTAAAATTTAGCAAAAGTGCTTCTTGAAATGACATGTGAAACCACTGCATTCTCAGGCTTAGAGTCAAGATTAGCGTAAGCTAACCATTGTTTCAGAGCTCTGGAGAGGCTTGATACGGCTTTATCTTTACTTAATAATTTTATCTTTTGGTTTGGTCAGAGGCTATTTCTCATTTACCACAAACTCTCACTGCAGCAGCAAGTACAGATCTATACAAAGGGCAGAGGAATGAGTATTATGTTTGTGAATGCAACAACGTTTTGCGCTGAGTAGCGTGCATTTAGGGATGTTACAGGGGCCCTCATGTTCAGTAAAAAGGCAAAGATATTTATTCTTCCATCATTCGCATGAAGAGTTGGAGACTTTGCTTTGGCAGTCGTGGCTGGGGAGGCATGCAGGGCTGGAGCGGTAATGTCTTCTTTCAGTTACAACTCTGGTTTAGGACATGACTCATGTAGAAGGCTTCCAAATGTAAAATACTGCTACCTACAGACACATGCTATACTGGGGTTTCTCAAAAGTCAGTTGATTTTCTTCCGTCACTGACCACTGATTTCCAATATGCTTATATGTTTCACTGTTTTGAAGAAGTATTTGTTGCTCTCAAGCATGGTGGCGTTTTTTTTTTTTTTTTCCTTCTAGAAAACTGTTAATTTTAACATATATTTAAAGTTCATTAAGAAATAAAATGCAAAAAGAATGATGGTAATACTTAGTATTTCCAGTTGCTGGGAACCTATGCTCTTATCACTCTTAAAAGCGTACCTCAAGACATGCAATATGTCCTAATGTCTTTTAATATAATTTTTAAAATACTGGTGTAAAAACATAGATTGTCAAATATATCAAAATCACTATGATATAGTTTTATTTAATTCTAGAATGTTTTTCCCAGTATAGGTATGATAAACTGCAATAAAAATATTATTCCAATTTAAATTATAAGGTAAAACTCATAGCTGAAGATTAACTGGGGTTCCATTTTACTTTAATAATTCATCTGCTTTCGCAGGATGCTTCCAACTCAGAAAATTCAAGAAGTTGGTTACTGCACAAGACAAGGCAAAAGCACATGATACAGAGGACCAAGCTTGACTTTTTGTGAAGTAAGGATGAACAATATTTCACTGAATATTAGCCCTAACTCAAAAGGTGGGAGAGCTTTATGATAGAATGCACTTTTATGAACAGAAAACTCTGTTTTCCAAGGGTCCTCCTCTGTCAGCTTTATGAAATAGTAAATTGGGGTTTTGTTTGTTTTGCTTGGGGGTTTTTTTGTTGTTTTTTTTTTTTGTTGTTGTTGTTTTTTTTTTCATTTTGAAACAATTAGTACATTATAAGAATTAGTATTTAAATCTAATTTGAAATTGGAGTTATGCAGGATGGAAAATTAATTATCTCATTACTTGGAGAACTTTTATGGTATTCATACAATAAGTAAAGACTCAGTCATAAGCATCAATCAATATTATAGAACGTTTTAGAACAAATGTAAACAATTTATATTATGATAATTTGTAGCACTACTTATTGATAAAAGAAAAATGATACTTATGAACTCAGTGGCATATCATTCTAATTCTTAGTTGGTTATTATCTGAGATTGCTCTTGATTAAATATGATTTGTGTTATATCTGTGTAACTCTGTACTTCGTTACTATGATAAATGTGCATTAAAACTGCATTATAATGTCCTAATTGTGAAATTGCCATTGAGTAAATTAAGGTTATGAGCACTGTAATGCAGTATTTTACAAAAATGTTATATTTCCTAGTATTTAAATTTCCTTGCATCTTAGAATCATAAAATTAATTGCTGAACTTAATAAATAATGATAGATAGTGTAAGCAAGTCAGTTGTAAGTCAGAGAAAAGAATCCAGTTTTCCTGACTTTTCACTGTCTCTCTCAAAAGTAGACAAAGTCGATACCTCTTTCTGTAATTTTAGAAATCAGTGGTTGATATAAATATCATTTTGGTAGAATATGAACATCACAAAATAACACAAGATCAAGTGTCAAATTAAAACTTCAAGACACAAGGACATAATGCAACAAACTTTAATTCAAGTCCAGTGTAAATCTTTCTATTGGCTTTAAGAAAACTTTATCGATTTGTAATATAATGGCATCAAGTGTATGATTAGTTCCTTTAGTTAAATAACTAATGCAAGTTTGCTCATGACACCTCACAGTTTAGAAGCTTGCAGAATGAACCCCTCTA